CTTAGACAGGAACAGAGTGGGAAATAACCTATGCAATGTTATCTGAGAATGTCATGAGGTTTAATTTACCCCCAAATCTCTTCCTGTTCTAAAATCTGTATGCTTAGAGCATTGCACAGTGTCTCAAATTAAATGCAATTCATGTTAAGTAGAAGACTTCCCATTTACACAACGGCAAACTACCTACCCAGAGTTAGTTCTGCTAAAATACAACATATGTATTATGTAAAAATCACTCAATAAAAACACAGGGATTATAGGGGAAATTGGGCTAGGGGCACAATGCGCAAAAACTTCATCAGTGATACATTAAAGAAAAAAAATAGGAACCTAATAAAAAATGGCAGCACAGTTTTACCCATTTTAAATGGTTAAGAAATACATAACTATGACAATTTATCTTGAAAAAGAAGTGAAGTTCACTTTTGAAAGTTGGCTGGCATCAAAAGGGTTGCAGCTTGTAAGTTATTTTGAAGTATGAGTAGGAAGGAGGGTTATGTGAAATCAGACTGGAAGTTGTAATATCACATGTGGCTGTGGCTCATACTTGGGTAGCTGGTAGATGTTTGCAGTGTGTGCCTGAGAGCATTTTGTGTATTCCTACGTAGCTTGGTTGAGCTGGGTACAGCTTTCTATATCCACTTAGCGTTTCTTGTGAACAAAACTGGGCATAAGCAAAGGCAAAATTTAAATTAGGGTCAAATTGTTCCCTATGTATTAACTGGGACAAATTTGTATTTTCAAAACAAGTATTATTGCAGAACTGACTGTGGAAGAGAAAGCTGACCCTTAAGAAAAAGAATCATGGTCACATTTTATTCAAATAAAGAAGAAAGAAATTATTGGTCCCCAAAGCAGTGATAGTGAAGATCTCTGCTATATTTATGCTACTACACTTTATTGAAAAGGCAGAAATCCCTCAGTTGATATCAGCCATTGTTTGGAGAAATTAAAATAAAAGTTGAAGATACCTATGTTACATTTGGTGAAAAGAAAACCAGAATGTGAAACTGTACATCCATTATGCTCACAGTTATATAAATAAAAAGCCTAGAAAAATAAATTGGAAGTAAAAAAGAAAAATAATGCTAACAGCGTTTGACTTGGGTGGTCAGATTATGAGTGAGTTTTTCTAATCCTAATTTTCTATATTTCTCAAATTTTGAATGATCAGTATTATTTTAAAATAAAGGAAACAATTTTTAAATTGTATAAAATTTCTATCCTGATTATTTTCAGTAATTTAAAATATAAGAAAATTCCTGATGAAGCTACATGAATTATAAAACTACAATAATAATGTGAAACACTGCAGATTTGAAATAGGGTCTGCATCTATATTTTGGCTAAGATAGGGTTAATTTTTTCTAACATTCACATCTTGATGTGTCCACGCTCTTTATAAAAAAAAAAAAAACTAGTAATGTTTCCTCTCTTGTAACTCAATCAATTTCTGCTCAGAGGGAATGTGGTAAAAGAGTTCACTGAACTAAATCCTTTTTTTCATCTGGGAGAAAAGATGCTGCCTGGCTGCTGTCTGATGAGGCTATCGTTGGGTAAGGTATGTGAAGGTGTTTTACAAACTATTATATCTATTAAGGTTACTTGGGTAGGTGAGTGGGGAGTGCTGAGAAGCACTTATTACTTTGCATAAATGTTACTTAATAAAATAATTAATCCTGATTTAAACATATTTGTGAAAACATAAGAATCAGTTAATTACTATGTGAGAATGATAAAACTTAGTATTTGTCTTAACTTGCTTCCCCCACTCTTTACAAATGGTAAATTATATACCCTGGCTAATCTGGCCTTTTGCAAGTCTTTAAGTACTGTCTTGCCTTTTTTCTTTCTTTTTTTTTTCCTACTTTAACCAATGCACTATAAACTTAACCAAGTAAACATCCTGTTAAGAAAATTACACATTGAGAAAAAAAAAATCACAAATATATGACACTGATTGATCTTTACTAAACCTTGAGTTTCAGAAATTTCATGACCCTTACCTCCAAATATTTCCTTAAGTTATTTAAATACTTTTTAAAAATGAAAACAGTGAATGTATAAGATATATTCTAAACAAGAGTCAATTCAGTTTTTAAAATATATCATAACTAGATCAAGCACTTAACAGTCAGTGTTGCAAAAGTACAATCTTGATATCTGTGAGACAAAATTAAAAACTACAATAAATATAAATTTAATTCATAATTTATAAGAGCACACATACAAACTAGTCTTCTGGGTACTTGAACCCACTAATGACCTTTCAAAAGTTATTTCTAGCTGTATATATATCATAAGTTATTTGGTTTAATGAAAATATTTTCTAAGAAAATGATGCCAAATTTCTATCTTTTAGCCCATTTCTCTTTTTTAAATCTCCATTACTCAGCAGACACCCTCAGCAAGAAGCATGCATTCTGTAGTCACTGCTACAACTTGCTGACAGATTAATGAAAATAATGAACTGTTGATATGAAGCATAACACATTTCTACTAGATAAGAAGTAGATAATTTCAGATATAGATTTTAGGCTTTAGGATTTTTCTATTTTTGTTTGTTAGTGTTCTTTTTTTTTTTTTCTTTTTAGATGGCATTAAAACAGTTGCTGTGAATCAATGAAAAATGACTTGAAACTTTAAAATATTTTGTAACAGTATTAAACAAGGCTAAACTTTTGAAAGCTGAAAAGTAACAAACCACATGCTCAAGACCAGCAGTTCCCAACCTTTTTGGTACCAGTTTGCACTAGGGACTGCTTTCATGGAAGACAAGTTTTCCATGGGTGGTGGGGGGTGCACAGCTCAGGCAGTGATGCCAGCGATGGGGTGAGGGGCTGTAAATACAGTTGAAGCTTTGAAGCTTCTCTTGCTTGCTTGCCTGCCTGCCACACACTCCTACTGTGCCGCCCAGTTCCTAAGTTTCATGGAAGACAATTTTTCCATGGGGGTGAGGGTGGAAGCTCAGGCAGTGATGTGCGCCCTGGTTCCTAACAGGCCTACTGAGCCACAGCCTGGGGTTGGGGACTGCTGCTCCAGGCTATAAGAATTAAAGTACACATATGCAAACATCTCATAAGTAAAACAATGGTCTCGAAAGCTTAAATATAAAAATTTACACTATGGGAAACAACTTTCTTCCTGATTTAACAAAGTGACATGTAAATAAAGCTTCCAATCAGGATTTATAAGAATATTATTCTGCTATTGATTCTAATTAAAAAACACAAATCTGAAAAGTCCCATTCATAATTTTAGGCTCTATTATTTAACAAGAACTGAATATCTAAGATTAATACAACAAACTTGATAAGTTATCAGTTTATCTTTACTCCCCAAACCAAAAACTGATGATAAAAATTTTTTTGGTGTGAGAAGGTAGTCTGCAAACAGGCCAAATCAAGGCTATTTCACAATGATTTCCGGCAAAAGAAAAAGGATTCTTTTCAGTTTAAACTCTTCATGGTAAGTAAAAATTATCAAGCAATGTACAAATGTCAGATAAGCTTAAAAGAACAGGTTTCATTATACCTATATCAAAATTACTAAAAAATGAAAATAAAAGCAGTAGCAGTAACAAACATACTGAGTATTTTTCTGTGTGCCAGAAATGGTTTCAGATCTATTTACTCTTGGTGATTATTCTGGCTTCCTTATCTTTCTCTACTGTTAATAGATACTATGCCCCATGATAAAAATAAAAATCTTATTTATATATGACTTAGTATTAAAATTAGCATTCCTGTTAATCGATTAATAAAAATTTCAAATGGAATATAATAACCAAAGTATTCTAAACTTTAACATATAAATAGATAAAAAACAAAAGTTTTATATCTATAAATCCAGGCAGACGGTATTGTAGAGTTAGTAAGCATGTACCTTATGGAGTCAGGCTGCCTTAGTTCAAATCCTGATTCTGCTGTGGACTAGGTTTGTAATCCCTGGGAGATTATTCTACTTCTTTAACCCCACTTCCCTCATCTATAAAATGGAAGTGAGTATTGTTACCTAATTGAATGAAATCTCTATGTAAAGCATCTTAGACATTATAAGCACTCAGTAAGATTTATCATTGTATGATTATTAGCACAAGTATGACCACATGCTTCTGCAAACTTCATGGCCTCAACAGAAAAGGAATCTAATATCCCAGACAGCTCCACTGAAAAATTTCTCATGCCTAATTCTGATTTTCTTCCTATACATGCATACACACAGACACATTCTCTGGTAGAAGTGTTACTCACTGTGCAGAGGTGGCACAATGGACTGAATTTTGTCTCCTCCAAAATTCAAATGTTGAAGCCCTAACCCTCAATGTGATGGTATTTGGAGATAGGGCCTTTGGGAGATAATTAGGTTTAGATGAGGTCAAGAGGGTAGGGTCCTCATGATAGGATTAGTGCCCTTTATAAAAAGGAATATCAGAGAGCTTGCGCTCCCTCTCCCTTCCTCTGTCTCTTTCTCTCTCTCTCCTCAACCCCTCTCTGCCATGTGAGGACATAGCAACAAAGCAGCCATCTGCAAGCAAGGAAGAGAGTCCTCACCAGAATGTGACCGTGGTGGCACCGTGATCTTGGACTTGCAGGCTCCAGAACTGAGAGAAAATAAATTCCTGTCGTTTAAGCCACCCAGTCTATGTATGGTATTTTGTTATAATAACCAGAGCTGACTAATACAGGTAGTCTACTTGTATTTTCAATGTTTAAATACACGATAAAAAGCAACTCTAAGTTTTTATTTTGCAAAGTTTATCAGACCCATGCAAATTCACGGTGTGGACAGTTTTGAAAGACTGCAGAGTATGTCAGAATAAGCCTTGGTCAGACAGACATTACACTTCTGCATATAACATAATTTCTTTTTAAAAGCACAATATTAATGTTTCTTACTTTTCAAAGAGCTGCTTTAAACAGTTCTAGTTAAGTCATGGTCAGACAGATATTATATTCACGTTTATAATACACTGCAAGACATAATGTAAGGATTCTTACCTCTTGTATCTGCCTGAAACTGTTCTGGAAGACTCCTATAAAGTAAAAATAATGACAAGTCAGTATGGGTGTATATGTACACAATTTCTGATTATATAAAACAGTTGATAAAGAATATCTAATTTTGAAAGAACCAACTTAAAGCAATTGTTATTTTTAAAAATTCACACTGCTGGTCAAAAAAAACAAGACTCTGCATCAGATTTTTCAGCCCAAACCAATCACTTTCTTAGAATTTTTTTTAATATGGAAGTATTTTAAAAGCTCAGAAAATGGGCAAGGAGGGCATCATTCATTAACCGGTCAGCTTAAATCCTTTTGGAAGTCAATGGGCATTAAAAAATACAACCATTATATTCTTTATATAGCCCCTTTGTCTTTTAACGCCCTCAGTTTTAAAAAAGCTACAATTCACATACATTTAGTGCCTAATGCTTATCTTTAAAGACTATATGCACACCTGAAAGTGAAAAGAGAGAAAGTATGTTTCACTGTGCTATTCTAAGCTACCAAAAAAAAAAAAAAAAAATCACTGAAAGCTAGCATTAACAATTGGGGTGGAAAAAGTATTACTTTGCAACGAAAACTAGGAAGTTATTTCTCTTTTTAGTCTTTTGATAGTCTGGGCTCTACAAATATTTTTGTATTTTCATCTTAATAAAACAGGTCAAAATCAAATGATTGAGTCTTTAAAAACTGATAATAATCTTTTTCCTAGTTAATCATTAAGTCTCTACGAGAGATCTTACAATTAAAGAATTTCTAATCTGGTTAAAATGAAAGAATAAAATCTTTATAAGATGACCAATTCCAGAGTAAAACAGTAAACACTGACTGCATGATGCAATAAAAGACTAGCAATGTGGAGAAAACGCACAATAAACTGTGTATGATTTAGAGGAAGAATTAGACAAAAGTTCTAACCAGACAGGCTACTCAGTGGCTGCAAGTCTGTGGGTTTAACTTTTATCAGTCTCTGTCTCCTCATCTCTAAAACAGAGTAACAACAATGCTTATTTTATTGGGTTACTGTGGAGATTAAATGTTGTAAATAAGTAAAACAATTAGCATAACCCCTTCATAACAGGCTTTCAATTTAATTTGATAGTTAATACAACAACAACAAAAAAACCTAACTGGGATATGGAATTTTAATAAGTCTAATGATTCCAAGTCAATAAACTCCCATTACAACAGCCTAAATCACTTAGTTTAAATAACTTTATCTAAATTTTTCATGTATATGTTTTATGTTCTAAGTAAAATATAAACTTTTGGCAGACAAGGAGCCCCCTCTTTGATTTCTTTCCCCCCAAAACCCCCAGGTCACCTGGTATGCAATATATATTGACAACTTAGGGAAATAACTTCCTTAGTAATCTGCAGTTACCGAAAAAGCACCACTTGGGAAATAACCAGTTGCTGGAAGTAACCAGGTGACAGGATACTAGAGGGTCCAGGTGTGTGGACTTGACCCTGCAAACAGGATTACCTCTGGGGAAGCCATGCTTTGACAGTTTATTTTAACCCTCCCTGGGCATCCATTATTCTTATAGCAGGGACAACAAAACCTAGTTAGTAAACTTTAAATAGATTTTTTTAATCTACCTGTCATTAAGGAGGTATCCCCTAAATGATGATGAGGCAGATGAATCTTTGTACTTTGTGTACCAAATGCGTAAAACAGATCCATTTATTAAAATATAGTGTATCTAGTGAATAAGAGCTAAGAATATATTTTATAAAATCTAGTTTTTAAATTATTCTTGAAAGCTTAACAGCTAATGTGTTTAATCAATGGTTATTTAGATAAACCAAAAAGCAATATTAAGCTTATGTATATTCACTCAAAGCACATTTTATTAAATGTAGATGACAATGATTTCATATGGAACTTTTTCTCCTAGAGTTTCCCAAATAGTATTTCAATTAACATTTTACAGAGATTTTCTTTTACAAAATTCCCTAATACTATGCAATATGAAGTAAAGCTAAGGCATATTAAAAAAATAAAGAACCTAGGGCGTATATCTTAAATGATGTCTGTCTATGCATAAGAAAAAACGCTAATAATGCCAGAATCTCCGAAACAAAGTTCCAAAACATCCTCTCTCTCTCTCATTTTGGTTATATTTGAAATATTCCTGAACATGCCATAGCAGCTTGATTGCCCATATCAGCAGAATTGCTAAATGAGAGAAGCCTTTACTGGACTAATTTTCGTTATCAATTGATATGGTATGAATAACCTGGCAATGAATACTTCTGATACTTGAAATAGGTATTTTCTGTAACATGGTAAAACTTAGACTAATGCAAATACAGCAGAATTTTAACAAATATAGATATGTGAAACAAAGGGCATTTTCAGCAACACTAAACTATAGTGGCATTAGACAAATTTTACACATTGACCTAACTATAAATGACTTAAAGACAGTATCAGACAAGTTTTGAATTAAGTATACTAATACAAAGTCATGTAATAATATCACATTTCTACATTCTACAGTTGTTTTTTTTTTAAACAACTAGTCACTTACACAAACCTTTAGTAAGTTTTATACAGTATTTCTACACAGCTGACTTGGTGCAGCTGATAAAATTAGAACTCTGACATAGTTGATCAAATCATCCCATGTCATGTCTGAGATGTATAAACAATGAGAACTTAAGCTATACTTATTTCTATATAACTAATATTTCAATAGTTAAAATTCTAAAGCAGGCAGATAACACTTAAGTTTATTCTTTACTGGTAGATTTGAATTTTTATTGGTATATTAGAGACTATGCATTACATAGCTAAAGAATCTACTAATCAAATTATAAACCTTAACAATGGAATGCTCCTTAACTTGGATAACCAATAGTATATGAGTATTATTGGAGATTTAGGAGGGACAGTAGTCTGCTTCTCATGTATATTCAAAATTGACAATTACAGATGTAGTTTAAAATGATCTCTATATCCCTGCCAAAAAGATAAAACTGGGCATGTCTGAAATTAGAAATGTTAGTAAGAAAAACCAAAATCAACCCATACGGTGCATCAACAGAGTCCCTAATAATTATTTTAGTTTTATTTTTAATTAACAAATAATAATCATGTATATTTATGGGATATAAAGAGATATTTTGATACATGTATACGGTATGGAATGATCAAATCAAATAAAAGTAATTAGCATATCCATCACTTCAAATATTTATCATTCCTTTGTGGTGAGAACATTTAAAATCTCCTCTTTTAGCTATTTTGAAATATATATTATTATTAATTATAGTTACCTTGCTGTGCAATAGAACAGAATTTATTCCTATCTAACTGCAACTCTGTACCCACTGACCAACACTTCTCCTTTCGCCATCTACCCACATCCCAGCCACCACTCTACTCTCTAGGTTTTATGAGTTTGACATTTTTTAGATTCCACATACAAGATCATTGTGACAACAGGGATGAACCTAGAGGACATTATGTTAAGTGAAATATAATTTTAAGGTAGAAAGTGATACTCCTGCACCTTAGAACAAAATTCTACACAAATATAAACTTCACCTTAGATTTGTTAACTAGAAACCTCTATATTTCTGTGGTCACAAAAATTTCCAAGCAAAAGAACTTAACTATACAATTACTTGGAACTTTAATAATTACTATAACTGTTAAAGCTGACAATTCCATTCTAAATGTAGAAAACATGGAGAAATACTGTAGTCCCTCCCGCCTTACCCAAGGTTTCGCTTTCTGTGGTTTCAGTTACCTGTGGTCAACCTTGGTATGAAAATACTAAATGGAAAACTCCAGAGATAATTCATAAGTTTTAAGTTGTGAACCACTGTGAGTAGCATCATGAAGTCTGGTACCATCCTGCTCCATCCTGCCGAGGACATGAATCATCCCTTTGTCCAGCAGATCTGTGGTGGATATTCTCCCCGTCCCTTAATCTCCTAGCAGCCATCTTGGTTATCAGATCGACTGTCGTGGTATCCCAGTGATTGTGTTCAAGTAACTCTTATTTTACTTAATAATGGCCCCAAAGCACAAGAGCAGTGATTCTGACAATTCAGATATGACAAAGAAAAGCTGTAAAGTGTTCCTTTAAGTTAGAAGGTAAAAGTTCTCAATTTAACAAGGAAACAAAAAAATCATATACTGAGGTTGCTAAGATCTATGGTAAGAACTAATCCATCCATGAAATTGTAAAGAAGGACAAAGAAACTGGTGCCTAGTATATACAGAGTTCAGTATTATCCAAGGGAGATATGGAATTTCAAGCATCCATTGGGGGTCTTAGAACGTATCTCCCTTGGATAAGGGGAACTGCTGTACCACTATCACTGAAACTGCTTGTAAAAAGTACAACAGTTAAGGCTGATACTGGTCGTAAAATTTCAATGACTATGTAATTAGAACTTCCAATAACCCCAAAGTCTGTTATACAACTGATTTTAAATACACTTTTCCTGAAATAATCTTCCTTGCAATGGAATGGTTTATATTACTGAAGGAAAAGGGAAAGACCAATGTGAAGCTCAGAAAATGTTGGCAAAGCACACAACGTTTTGTGTAAGTTCAAGTAAAACATTCTGCTTCATTCAAGTTTAGAATGGTCAATAAGGAAATCCCATGAACGTTGTCTTTACAGGTGCAGTGGTAGATCAGAACTTGTAATGTATAAACAAATATAATAGCATATGTGAAATAAGATCAGACAAATGCAAGCCCAGTAGAATATAGCAAAATAATACTGAAGTTATTCAAACAAACTAGCAACAAAGCCACAACCCTCAGTAAAATTACAGCAATAATATGTTAACTGGCCCTCAGGACTAACTTAAAATATTTATATTGGTATGCATAGTTTATTATGACACCTTGTTAAAGATGGCTACAGAACAAAATTTCTATAATGCATAACTGATAAAATAACTAGGAAAATAAAAAATAAAACAAGAACTTTATCAAACTGACAAAGATTTTAAAAGGAAAAACTCATCCTTCCCCTTCCTTTCCTGAATAAATCAATCCTAAAGCCAATGAGTGGGGCAGAGCAAGGTGGGGAGGAAACAGTGGCTCAGACCAGGGTATGGAAATACTGGAATCCTACATAAAGAACAGCTGCTTGGCATAGACAAAGTCCAAACTGTGGAGACTGCTCACACAGCAGAAGGACTTGGCCTGGCCTAGACAACCTAAGCAGAATGAGGAGGGTGACTAGGGGAGGGAAGGTCTCATTCCTGGGGCAATGTCAGAGAGGGAGTCCCATGAATGGTCAGCCAGAGTCTCAAGTGATATGTGATCCATTCAGGAGGGTGGCTCAGAATGCAGCATTAGAGCTCTAGAAGGGTAAAGAATATGTACCCTCCGAGAAGCAGCCTGGCATGGGGTGTTCTGTGCCAGAGCCCAGGCAGGATGAAGTGAATGTCCACATGGAGTGGCAGTCTAGTCTGGAGATGTCAAAACCTAAATCAAGCTGAGTAGGGTTCCCGTGGAGGAGCAATCCAGTATGAGGTCTCAGAGTCTGAGCAGGAACAAAGAGAGGCCCTAGGGAAGAGCAGCCTGTCAAAGAATGGCAAAAGTTAAGCCAAGTGAAGGACATCTTGCAGCCTGGTATGAGAAGCCCAAGCCTGAAAAAATTGAGGAAAGTGTTCATGCACAGGCAGAGCCAACATGTGATGTCAGAACCCACTTGTGGTGAGGAAGGCATAAGTGTGGAAGAGGTGGCAACGGGAGATATGTTACTATTAATATATATAGAGAGACTGAACAAATAAGAAACATATTAAGGATAATGGGAAGCAAATTTCTCAATGTCACAAAAAGGAATTACAAATACTAGAATAAAGCCTATGATACTAGATTAGAATTAGAAGTAGAGATATAAATTTGTTTCAATACCTAGATAGATATAGGTAGGTAGGCAGGCAGAGAGCAGATAGGGGTGTGTGTGGGTGTGTGTGTGTGTGTGTAAATATCGGCTATATTATAGTTCACAGAAAAACAAAGTAAAAAGATCAACAAATCAAACCAAGTAATTTGGCTTTTCTTTACATGTTTTATTTTTTTCCAAATTTTTTATTGATCAAGTTTTAATCAGAAAATTAATTTTTGCTTTAAAAACTGGCATAATTATCTAGAAAAAATGTAAAGATGCATAAAATCATAGCCAAAAATATAAAAACTTTTTAAATTCTCATTTTCTATTATCACTATTCCACATTATTTTTAAAAACAAAGCAGAAACTTAAAATTCTCTAACCTTTCACAAAGCATACTGTTATGTGAAACTCACATTCTCGTTTTATTCTTCATTTTTAAAGATTAGTCGCACTGAATGGCTCAGATTCATAGACAATACTAAGAAACAAAATCTTTCTGTCCTATTCAAAAAAAGCCTTAAAGCAACCAATGATGCCAATATTTTCTCTCTGTTGTTTTTGAATTTGGAGTTATAAATAAATATCTATCCTATATGAGTAATAGAATATGTGAGTTTAGATAGTAACTCAGAGAGAAGTCAACTATGCAGACAGAGCAGTTTCTGTTCCCATTCCAACTCTGAGAAGGCAATTTGGAGGTCTATGTGGAGAGTCTTAGTCTCACTCTCATCCTAAGCAAAAATCCTGGCAAATGGCAAAACAGACACTTGGAGCCAAGGTCACCAGTGAGTCACTTCCCTGTTACTGATGAAACAAACAAACAAACAAAAATGGGAGCAATGAAGAGCAGGCCCGGGAAGAGATGAGAAAAGCTACAGAAAACACCACAAACTGGATGAGGCAGAAAGCTCTTTACAGAGCCCAGATCAATGAGCCGAGTTCAGTTTCGTGTCTATATACATTTAAGAATAACACCACACTGTGAGTGGGTAGAATCCTCATTCTACAGAAAGAAATCAGCCCTCTTTCTAAAAGCCACTGCCCGATGTTTTTCGAGTATGCCACTATTTGAGTGTGACACCATAAGTGGCATGACCAAGAAATGAAACCAGGTCTAGACTCTTAATCAAAATACTTTATTGTATTAAGCCCTCAAAATTAAGCACTCATCACGTGAAAAGTCTTCACTAGAATAGGCTCAGATTTAATTTCAACTTTATTAAATAAAGAATACAAAGGTATCTTAGATTATGAACAGACACAATGTTGCTGAGAGAAACATTGTTTGTTGGCTTATAGCACCCAATAGGCTACTGCTTTTCCTAAAGTGTGATGATTACCATCTGCAGTAGCAGCAACTTGGGGGTTGGGGTGGACAGATGAATCTACATCACTCTATGAATCTTTACATCAATACATCTGCCTCTAAGAGCAAAGGAAAAAGAAGTTTTGCACCCTCATTTCCTAACTACTTTAAAATATTTTGCTTCCCTCTACCAAATACCTTCATAACCTTGCAAATTAACAGATAGGTCTACATTTCATCTTTCTCCATCACTAAAATAGGGAGATGGGTGTAATGATCTGAAATTCCTTATAAAACAATAGCAAAATAAAATGCATTTAGAAAGTCAAGACTAGAACTCTGAAAAGACATGAAGTTAGCTTAAGATCTCAAAATGCTACAAAAATAATTTAAGACTAGATAACATCAAGAACAGTCCCAAATTAGTTTCTATAAAATGACTCTGTAGTGATTTGCTTTATACTGAGGCATCCCTATACCATCAACTCCAAATTTTCTGTGCACAAGAGCCCAATATAACAGCTAATTTGAAATTGAGTACAATTTTGTTTTTAAAAGTATTTTATAATTACACAGAAATGTAGGTATTTCTGGCAAGTCATGGTATTATATATTGTGTTTTATTATTATGTTTAAACATTTGACTTTGGAGGAACTTTCTGTTCAACTTTTTATTTGCTACGTAATTCTAATGTAAATATCAGCCTAAAGAGAACTGGCCACCCACTTCAACTTACTAATTCTTAAGAAGGTAATTATTTTTCTTGGCTATTTTTACATTTCATACGGCCTAAATGTGCTTAATCAGTCAGTCAGCAAATATTCATTGCTCAGGAACTAACAATCAAACACTGCTTAAGTCAAAAAGTATTTGGATACAAGGACAATCAGCAGTTAATCCAACTGAAAATACTTAACAGAAGCTGATGCTACCAAAATAAGACTGGAAAAATTATTAATACTAACTTAAAAATTGTTGTTAAAATAGCTAGTGACTTCCTGGTATTTTTAAATACTCACCTGTAGCAGATAGGAACTGCCTGAATCTAGTAAGCTCACGGCTTCATTCTGCATTGTGTTATGCTGTGTAATTGCATCTTCTCGTTTCCGCTCTTTCTGCCCTGCTTCATCATCTTCATACTCATCTAAGCACTGAAAGAAAAAAGTTTCCATTTTATTTCCGCAGGTAATTTAAAGAATGCTTTGACAGTATGTAAAATACGTTTGACAGCATTAAAGAAATATGTGTGCATTCAGAAATGAGTTTATACGATAAAGGTGCTCCTTTCAGCAACATGTACATTTAACTCCTGTAAATTAAATTATCTGCTTAAAACTCACACCTCCACATTTCACACCCATGCCAACATCTCTTTTCCTTAAATTTTAACTACCAGTGACAGGGTTTTCTTACACAGAGGGTTCATTCATTCAAGTAAACTGACTATGTCTACCTTAAAACAAGGCACTTTTACAGAGGGTAACGGAAGATACACTACAGATACAGAATTTATAGTCTACTAGGGAAGATAAGACATAAAACATAGATAACTTACTGATAAAGTCCACTTTCTAGCTTTCTACTGCCTATAAGAGTATAAAGGAAGAGTATTTTCACCTGGAGAGTTAGGAAAGACTCTATGGAAAACCTTGTAATTTAAAGATCGTTGTAGTTTGGAATTGTAGATATAGAAAAAATTACAGATGGTAAAAACAGCATATTGAAGAAGCTTACAAAAGATGATTGTTCAAAACTGAATCAACACCAGCAATTATTTATCTCCAGACTTTTTACATGAAAAAACAACATAGAAACAAATCTCTATCCATTGTACTTATTATGGGATGAGTTATCTGTTCCTTACAACTGAACACATTCTTAACCAATACACTGCCCTAAAGGGTTCTGGGAGAGACCAAAAAAAAATCTCTGCAGACACAGGCACTGTTTAGAGACACACTAAGACACGGATCAAAGCACAGAAAACAATGGAAGCACGCATAGAGAAAAAAATCATGCATAGACAAGAAAAACACTGAGGCCACCACCCAAACGAAGAAGGGTCACTAGAGCCATCTAAAGGTATGAGGAACATAATGGAGGGAGTGCTAGCTTGCCAAGCAGCACATTCAAAGATAAGGTCTACAATGGGTGATGTGAAAGAAAACATCTGTCTGAGATGGAGTCTTACAACATTAGGATGCCATGGAGAGAAAGTCCGGAGACCAAACCGAAAGGGCAAATTAAAGGAACAAGCAAGCTGAGATTCCAGAGAATGTTCAGGGTCTTCTCCTGAAATGCAACAGACTGCTTATACCTGGCCCTCCTCACATCAACCTGTGGCAATTGGGGCCTGGGGAAACAGTACAAGAAAAATTATGATACTGTGGCTACTGTTATTCCTTTGAGTCCAAACTGTTCTTGACTAACCCAGAAGACTAGAGTCTTCTGCCAGGATCCACAGGCTAACATTTTAGCTTGCAAGCAGGGTAAGATTTCAGAGCCTTCACAGTTCTTGACAAACGTAAAGACTGGAAAGGCATATGTTTTGATCACCAAGGAACATAAATAATAAATAGCCTGAGAAATTTAGACTTTTCACTACATAACGTGGAAAGCTGTTACAGTGCTACAATTCCTGGTAATGTAAGTACAACACAATCACAATTTTTTTTTGAAAATGAACCAGGTATAGCAATTCAGAGTACAGATTAAAAGGAACAGGTACCAAAAGTTAAAAGACTAAACAACACAGTAGGCAATTTGATCCTATGAAAAATGATATATCCTAAGCGTAAAACAGAGTCAATGAAAGAAATCTAGTACAGGGCACAAAATAAATTAGTCCTAACTAGAAAAAGAATCTGTCTTAGGACTTTTAAAAAAAACTTTCTCAAACCAATAGACAGTGTCATATCAAATAACAAAATACAAGCAAAATTTAAAAGTAAAATCAGACACAGGACATTGACATCAACTACCAACATAACAGATAACATCATTCTGTGTCAGCTAATAAAATTAGGTAAGAAGAATAAGAGATTTCAACATTAGAAAGGAAGCAAAATTACCATTATTTTCGAAGACATAATTTTATCAAAAAACCTTAAAAATATTTTAGAATTTTGAGAGTTCCTTAAGATGGTTTTTCAATAAGTATGCAAAAAACAGCTTCCCAAAGTAACATCAATAGCCAGTTAGAAAATTTTTAATAATAGCCAAAAAAATAAACTAAAAAACAGATAGTACCTGTATGAAAAAAACTGTAAAACTTTACTTAGGAATACAAATTGAAACTTACTCTTAAATTAAGAAAAACCTAATATTGTGAAGGGGTAAAGGATCTGTTAATCAATGTATAAACTGAATGAAAATTCCAATCAAAATCCTAATGGAATTTATTGATTGATTGATTGATTGATTGAGACAGAGTCTCACTGTGTTGCCCGGGGTAGAGTGCCGTGGCATCATCCTAGCTCACAGCAACCTCAAATTCCTGGGCTCAAGCTATCTTCCTGCCTCAGCCTCCCGAGTAGCTGGGACTACAGGTATGCGCCACCATGCCTGGCTAATTTTTTCTATATATTTTTAGTTGTCCAATTAATTTCTTTCTATTTTTAGTAGAAACGGGGTCTCGCTCTTGCTCAAGCTGGTTTCGAACTCCTGAGCTCAAACTAGGATTATAGGCATGAGCCACCGCGCCCGGCCCCTAATGGAATTTATTTGCAAAGCAGGGGTGGATCATCTGGAAGAATAAATACATAAGACATCCAAATAATTACTTTTTTAAAAAAAGAGTCATAAAAGAACACTCTAGTTAACATCAAAATATACATGGTCTGTCTGTACCCACTGTTAATATAATGAGAATGCTTACATGGCTGGATACTTTCTGGACAGCCCTCCAGAAAATGTCTTATTATAAAAACACAACAATGAAAAATACATGACAAAGGTCCTAGAGTAGAAAAGAGAATGAGGCCGGACTCAGTGGCTCACATCTGTAATCCTAGCACTTTGGGAGGCCAGGGCAGGAGGACTGCTTAAAGCCAGGATTTTGAGACCAACCTGAGCAAGAACAAGACCCCCTATCTACAAAAGATAGAAAAATCAGCTGCGCATGGTGGCCATGCACCTATACTCCCAGCTACTCAGGAGGCTGAGGCAGGAGGATCACTTGAGCCCAGGAGATTGAGGTTGCAGTGAGCATGATGATGCCGCTGCACTCTATCCTTGGCAACAGCGTGAGACCCTGTCTCAAAAAAAAGAAAGAAAACAAAAGAGAATGAAATAGCATAAAAAGCATTTTAAATCAAGCAGTTCTTACAATATAGCACTAAGGGGTCAACCATTTAATATACAGTGAGGGCTAAGAAGCAAGAGTACAAGATCTGAAAAGAATAAAGAGTAGTCTCATCTCTAGTCTTCTACTCTATGAAAGCAATCATCCCTTCTTCTCCAGCATGTGGACTGCAAAAATCCCTTGCCATAGGATGCAATGTCAGTAGCTTAATGTCAGAATTTTTCAATCATAGAGTACTGTAGATAGAAGGTAAAAGTTAAGGCAAGTATCCATGAACTCGCTGAGCAATGGGATATTATTTTGTTCATCCTTGTTTTCATTTTCTGAGATACAGCCCTTCAACACTACCCTCCTCCCTTCCCATTCCTTCAATAAATGTAGACTTCCTTACCAGCACATTAAAAGAAAGAAAGAGGCCAGGTGAGATGGCTCACACCTGTAATCCCAGCACTTTGGGAAGCTGAGGAGGGAAAATTCTCGTGAGCCCAGGAGTTCAAGTCCAGCCTGGGCAACATAGCAAGACTTTGTCTCTACAAAAAAAAAATCTAGAAAAGATAATTCTACACTTTGTATGGAACCAGAGAAGACACCATAGAGCAAAAGCAATCTTAAGCAAAAAGAACAAATTGGGAAGCATCAGTTTACGAGACTTCAAGCTATAATACAAGGCTATAGTAACTAAAACAGCATGGTACTTCCTGAGCAGGTTGTTGATTTCTTGAAGCGTGGTGAATAAATTAAGTCTACTGGAAGTGATAAGCATGTCGTCAAGAAATGATTTGACTAACATGTGCTATGTCTTTTGCAGCAGCATGGATGGAACTGGAGGTTATCTTAATTCAAACAAGCCAGGTACAGAAAGCCAAATATCACATGTTCTCACTCATTAATGGGTGCTAAAAAGTGTGTACACATTGATCGTAGAGAACAGAATGATAGATAATGGAGACACAAAAGAATGGAGTCAGGGAGTAGATAATGAGAAATTAGGTAACAGGTACAATGTACATTATAGATACCCTAAAAAGCCTTAACTTGACCACTATGTAATCTACGCAGGTAACAAAATTGTACATGTAGCCCATAAACTTGTACAAAAACTAGAAAAAATTTAAAAATAAAAAAATAAAATATACACAGTTTTTTCCAGGAAGACAGTTATTCTAGAAAACTCAGGAATATCTTTGTAATCTTGTTTGTTAAAAAGTTGCTTGGTATTTTGGAACATGTCACTAATAGTAAAACTAGTCATAATATTTGAGTCACTAATAAAGTACATTTTTATCTGTCCAAAAAAACTGAAAACCACTGTACTATGTTTTAATAGTTCTAAGACTTTGTCTGAGGCAATAGACTGCACCATCACAATATTAGCATTACCACAGTATTTCAAACTCCTGTTATGATATAAAACATACCATATATTATACATATTCAATAGCTGTTTGCTGAACTAAATACTAGGGTGTTTGGTGGAAAGATTAGAGTGATTCAACCAGATTACAAAAGACACTGAGGCTAAGCAGGAACTGGAATGTGAAGTCATAAATACAAAGAAACCAGCTAATCATGATAATTTCTCGAGCAAATATGACATAACATACTCCTTTTGAAAGACCAACCTTATAGTAATATATATGTTAAAAATGGAAATAAACTTGACTTAGTAATCTTAAAGGTAGTAGCTTCCTACTACTAAAATTTCTATTACTATAGCTCAAAGGCTTTTAATATATCCAAAAATTTTACAAGTTCACAGCCTGAAATAACTAAAAAGAATTCATTTCACAGTAGCTTTTTCCTATTAATTTTATAAAACAATTCCACAAAACTGAGGAGTTCAGAAAA